ATAAACAAATGGTACTATATCAAACAAAAGATTTTGCATAGTGAAGAAAACCAACGACAAAATTATAAGGTAAACTATTAAATGGGAGAAAATATTTCCAAACAATATATATAATAAGGGGTTAATATTCAAAATATACAAAGAACTCACACATCTGAACATCAAAAATACCCCAAAAAACCTGATTTAAAAATGGGCAGAGGACGTGAATAGACATTTTCCGAAAGAAGACATACAGATGGTCAACAGACACATGAAAAGATGCTCAAAAACACTAATCATCAAGGAAATTAAAATCAAAACCACAATGAGAAACCACCTCACACCTGTCAAAATGGCTGCCATCAAAAAGACAAAAACAAGTGATGGCAATGATGTGGAGAAAAGGGAGCCCCTGTGCATTGTTGATGGGACTGTAAATTGGTGCAGCCACTATGGAAAACAGTATGGAGGTTCCTCTTAAAATTAAAAATTGGACTGCATATAATCCAACAATTTCACTTGTGGGTATTTTTCCAAAGAAAACAAAAACACTAATACTGAACAATATGTACCCCAATGTTCATTGCAGCATTATTTACCATAGCCATGATATGGAAAAAACCTAAGTATCCATTGTTAGATGAGCAGATAAAGAAGATATGACATGTGTGTGTATATACATATACATACATATATATATATGTATGTATATGTATATACATACACACACACATACACACACAGTAGATTAATACTCAGCCAATAAAATCTTGCCATTTGCACCTACTGTATAGCACAGGGAACTCTGCTCAATATTATGTAACAACACAAATGGGAAAAGAATTTGAAAAAGAATAAATACATGCATATGTATAACTGAATCACTTTGCTGTAAACCTGAAACTAACACAACATTGTTAATTACCTATACACCAATATAAAATAAAAAGTCAAAAAATGTAAAAAATAAATTTTAGGGCTTCCCTGGTGGCGCAGTGGTTGAGAGTCCGCCTGCCAATGCAGGGGACGCAGGTTTGTGCCCCGGACCAGGAAGATCCCACATGCCGCAGAGTGGCTAGGCCCGTGAGCAATGGCCACTGAGCCTGCATGGCCGGAGCCTGTGCTCTGCAACAGGAGAGGCCACAACAGTGAGAGGCCCGCGTACTACAAATAAATAAATTAAATAAATAAATAAATAAATTTTTAAAAATCTTGCCATTTGTTGTACAGATGAACCTGTTTACGAGGCAGAAATAGAGACACAGACATAGTGAACAAATGTATGGACACCAAGCGGGGGAAAGGGGGTGGGGGGGTGGGATGAACTGGGAGATTGGGACTGACATATATACACTAATATGTATAAAATAGGTAACTAATGAGAACTTGCTGTATAGCACAGGGAACTCTACTCAATGCTCTGTAGTGACCTAAATGGGAAGGGAATCCAAAAAAGAGAAGATATATGTATACATACAGCTGATTCACTTCACTGTACAGCAGAAATTAACAAGACATTGTAAAACAACTATACACCCCCCCAATAAAAATCTTGCCATTTGCAAAAACATGGAAGGTCTACCTGGAGAGTATTACACAGAGTGAAATAAGTCAGACAGAGAAAGACCAATATGTATGCTCTCACTTGTATTTGAAATCTAAAAACAAAACAAACAAACAAAAGAAAATGAAAACAAACTCAGGTAGTAAAGACAGATGGGTGGCCGCCAGAGGGGAGGGGGTAGGATGGTGGTGAAATAGGTAAAGTGGATTAAGAAGTACAAACCTCCAGTTAGAAAATAAATAAGCCATGGGGGTATAATATACAGCATATGAAATAAGGTCAATAATATTAACTTTGTATGGGGACAGACAATTACTAGACTTGTCATGACTTTTTGTAAGGTATGCAAATGTCAAATCACTATGTAGTACACCTGAAACTAACATAATGTACGTCAACTACATTTCAATTTACAAAAAGAGCAAATGGGAACTGGAAGAGTTATGTATTGAGATGTTTAAATTAAATATTGTTCGTAATGGCAAAAATAGAAACAACCAAAATTCCCATGAAAATCATAAAGGATACAGTGTGGCATTAATATAATAAAGTATCAAGCACCAATGCAAAAAATTTACTAGGCACAAAGGATTTTGAGGACAGCAATTAGCAATTGCTCTGTATGACACTATAATGCTAGATATATGTCATTATATATTTGTCAAAACTCACACAATGTATACCACCAAAATGAACCTTAATGTAAGCTGTGAACTTTTGGTGGTTGTAATGCGTCAGTGTAGGTCCATCATCTGTAACAAATGCACCTCTCTGGTGTGGACGTTAACAGTGAGGGAGGTTATGTGTGGGGGTGGGCAGGGACTATATGGGATATCTCTATACTTCCCTCTTAATTTTGCTATGAACCTAAAATTTCTCTTAAAAAACAAAGTATTTTAAAAATTAACTGTATTTCCATTAAATCTCAAAATTTTAAGTGGAAACCAAAAAGATCTATTTGCAGAATGATACAGCAGGATACAATTTATATTATGTTTAAAGCATAAAAAACAATTCTTGTTCAGAGACATATTCAATTGTAGTAAAAGTATAAGAGCTTTTAAACAAAGAAATATAGAGGTTTATAAAAATATAAGTACGAAAGCTTTGTAAAAGCCTCATTCCCTGAATTCAACTCCTCTAATAATTCTATCCTACATCCTGCCTCACCCACTCATTCCTATGGTTCACACTCTAGACCTTGTCAACAGATTTTTATCAATAACTGCAAGCCCTCCATCATCTCTGTGCATCCCACATCCTGACCACCTGCTGTCTCTCCTGATAACTCCACTAGCACCTCAACTACAACAATCTGCATACCCATCAGCACAACCAAACCATGGTTCCTACATTTTCACTGTTCCTAACCTCCTTACTGACTTCTCTCCTCCTTTAAGCAGTTCAGATTCTCTTACAAACACCCTCAATTTCCTTGCCATCCTTTCAACTTCCTAATGAGTTGACAAAAACACGATACATCAATCTTCAGAATGCTGAGAGAGAAGGATGTTAGAACTAGGATTCTAAACCTAGCCAAATTACCAATCAAATGTGGAGGGAAAGCAAAAGTGTTTTCATTAATAAAATAACAGTGTTTGCCACTTATATACACTGTGTCTAAAATTTTTTAAACTTGAGTTATTCCAGAAAAAGAGCAAAGAATTCCAAGAAAAGAAAGATGAAGTTTAATTTTCTGTGGCAGTTGGTTCCGCCCACACAAGTAAAATAAGTTAGAAAAAAATTGACAAGACCTCTTTTGGCCATCAAAGCTTTACCAGAATAACAACATATTTACTTCCTGATTCAGAGTTAATATCATTTTTATATTCATAATACCATAAAATAATATTTATTGATTTAACTTAAAAATCAACATGTAGACAAAGCACGAAAGGTCTATAAAATAAATTATGAATTTTATAACTCTTAACAATGGATATGAGAAGTGTACTATTTTACATGTCTCATTTTTCATAGCAAATAATCAATGGACTTTGCATAAGGTAAAAAGATTTTTTAAAATAATTAATATAAATAAAAACATAAATACATTAAGATGGCAATATACTATGCAATAATATTTAATATATTATATACTATTGTGTATTATATATTGTATAACATCTATAACATATAATTACATATATTATGTATATACATATAATATTTAAGAATGTGTTTATATAGATTACTAATATTATAAGTATTAATAAAGTAATAAAAACTTCACAATATATATGACAGAGAGAGTGGGTTAAATATGTCAAAGATAATATTACCAATGTTGTCTAAAGTTTATTAATCAAAGTAGGGGTCAAAGTACATATTTTTTAAATAAATAAACTTAACTACCAGAGAATTTAAATAGAAATTATAAATTCTTATAGGACTTCATGAAGGGGATAAAGAAGAGAGTTTTGCTAACAAACTTTGCTTTGTATAGCTACAATTTAAACAATTTTACATATACATGCATGCATGCATAAATTCTGTAATAAAAATAATTGGAAGAGTATCAGAAATAAAAATATGTATGCAAAATCCCATTTTTGCAAAAACATATAGTGGGGAGCCACAGTAACAGATAAAAACTCAAAGTAGGAGATACATATTAATCAAAATGTTAACAGTGATTATTGCTTCATCCCTGGGAAGATGCCAGATTATATGTTTCCTTTTATGTTTCTATATGTTCTTTTAAAAATGGACATGCATAACATAAATTACTTTGTAATTTAAAAAGACTCTATAGTACTTAAACTTATTTTTTAAAAGGATGAATAGGTGGAGGAAAGGCTCAATGAATTACTTCTCTTTCAGTGATGCATCTAATTATACCAATTTATTTAAATTTATTTAAATATAAAATATTTATAAGAACTATAAATTTATTTATTTAAATATAAATAATTTATTTAATTTATTTAAATATAATTTATTTAATTATAAAATACTATTTAAATATAAAATATTTATAAGAACTATAAATATTTAAAATAGACATAAAAGTTTCTTTTAAGTATTATGTAGAAAAATTTGAAACATTTTAACAAATTTTTATCATATTTTTTGGTTCATCATTTGTTTTGATTTTGAAGTTAATTTATCTATAAGACTATTTTTCCAATTTTATACCTACAAGAAAAAAAATCTATTTTGGTTATAGAAATATCTTTACAGATAATTTTTCATAATGCACTCTTCTATATAATAAGGGATACATGTGTATTTATTATACTTTTATTCCACTTTAACTTCCAAATAATTGCAATAAGACACTTGTACTTCAGAATACTATTCCTTCTACATACTTCAAAGTTCTAAGAGTGATGGAATATAAATGCAATCTCTAAATGTAAATATAAATGTGAAGTGTATAAAATATATGCTGTAATACTGGGTAATTTTAAAATGTATTTTTTTCAAATAATAAGATTAAATAATTACATACCAAAGCAATTCCTGCAGAATAACTGGTAACACACATCTTTCCAGGAAATGCTGCTCCCACGTAATCTGGATAATCTCTATAGCTAAATAAATAAGTATATAATTATAGTTAATTTTGACAAACAATTCACATGTGATAACTCCTGCTAGTAATTTGTCTGTGGTTCATAAATTTCTAGTCTGAAGCAAATTGAAGTACAATCTTTCCATATGTATTTAACTGCTTCAAATTTGTAAAATAGTCTTCATTAAATGAGATTAAGCAATCTGGGTTTCTAAAACGTATCCAATGGATCCAAGTTATTGATGACTTTACTGTTCTTGCGGCGTTTGGTTAGGGTTACTAAAGCCTTGATCAAACATTTCAATCAAAAGCATTTTGTTGAATTACAATGAAAAATAGTTTTAATGTATGGATTAAAAGTTTTCACTCAAATGTAGAAAAGCTCACCATTTTCTCACTGGAATGATTTTATTGTTCTACAACTTACCATTATTTTTTTCTGCTTTGAGAAGAAGAGTCCATATAAACTGCCATATAATAATAGCACTATTCTCATGGATTTACATAAATGATTCTATTTAATCCTCAAATCCAGCCAGTGAATTAGATACTATTTTTTCCCCACTGAACAAATCAAACATCAGATGGGAAGTACAAGTAACTTGCTCAGGGCAGCACAGGTAAGTGCTGCTGAAGGGTATGAACTTGGACAGTTTGAATGCAGAGCCATACTCTCAACCACTAAGATAGAGATGCTCCAAACATATTCTGCCATCTTTAGAGCCCCAGCCAAAAGGAACATTCCAAGACGTGTGTAAAAAAGCTTGGCACGCAATTCTCAATTTGAAATGCCTCCTCAGTCTCAACTGCACTGCACTTCACAGTTGTACTGTCTCTCCACTGCTCCCGTATTCTGCCTCGCGGATGTTGTTTATACGTAAGCACTTGTTTCCAAGTATTCGCCTTTAACACCCAACTTTGGCTTTACATTCCAATATGAAAGTATTGTTTACACTCTTTCTTCATTCAAGACAGTTCTCCCAATAGATAAGACTTTCCCCCTAACTCTATGCATACTCCTGATGAGCTGGATTCAATAATAGCTATTTTTCACTTAATACGGCCACCCAGTCTCCACACCAAATCAGTTACCAAGATTTACTGTTTTACTTCTTCAACTTTTCTTGTATCCCTCCCCTCCTCCAGAGGTTCAGCTCCAGTTATCACTATGAATTCCGTACTCTTTGAAAAGGACTATTATTTAGTCCCATGTCTCTAGGCATATTGTTTCCATAACCTGGAATGCTTTCCACCTCCTTTCACTGAATTTAAACATTCCTGGGACTTCCTGGTGGTCCAGTGGTAAAGAATCTGCCTTCCAATGCAGGGCATGAGGGTTCGATCCCTGGTTGGGGAACTAAGATCACACGTGTCACGGGGCAAGTAAGTCAGCACACCACAACTAGAGAGAAGCCCGCACACTGCAACGAACATCCCAAGTGCCGCAACTAAGACCCGTCACAGCCCAAAACTTTTAAAAAATTAATTATATTAAGTAAAAACAATAAATATTTTTTTTTAATTCCTCAATCTGCCTTCTCACTTCTACTTTGATCAGCACGTCTTTAACTTGGCCCTTCTGTTATATGTTACTTTGAGTCTCTCTCTCACTCTTGCTCTTGCTCTCACTGTCATTGTTTCTTCCTCCTGTAAACTATAAACAAGTAGAGATAATGTACCAACATTAATCTTCTGGAGTGACATCAGCAAGATGGCAGAATAGGAGGTTTTTAGCCCTCATCTCTCCACAGAAACAATTTTGACAAACACCCACAGATGTGGCCCAAGACCCAAGGAAAGGTCCCATGCCACACTGGAGCAAAAAATCCAAGAATAGACACATTGAAGAAGGTAAAAACAGTTTCACCTTACCCACGTCACCATTCCCCCAAGGCAGCACAGCTCAGTGCCGAAAGGGCTGCCTTCAGCCATGATTTCTCCCACAAGGGAAGGTGAGAGTATAGTGAATACTGCCAGCCATGCAAGATGATGCCAAAGAGGCCCACTTTTTAAACTAAGTCCATTGAGAGATGAATGGATAAAGAAAATGTGATGTACATATGCAGTGGAATATAATTCAGCCTCAAGAAAGAAGGAAATCCTGACATTTACAACGTGGATAAACCTGAAGGACATTATGCTAAGTGAAATAAGCCAGACATAAAAAGGCAAGTACTGTATGATCACACTTATGTGTGGAATCTAAAATAATCCAACTCATAAAAGCAGCGAGTTGAATAGTGGTTGCCAGGGGTCGGGAGATGGAGGAAATGGGGAGTTGGTCAAAGATACAAAGTTTCAATTATGTAGGCTGAATAAGTCCTGGAGGTCTAATGTACAGCATGATGATTATAGTTAATAATACTGCATTGTATATGTGAAATCTGCTAGAGAAGATCTTAAGATTTCTTACCACACACCAAAGAATGTTAACTATGTAAGGTGGTGTATATGTTAATTAGCTTAAGATTTCACAATGTATACGTATATCAAATATCACATTGTACTCCTTAAATATGTATAATTTTTATGTCAATTATACCTCAATAAAGCTGTAAAAGAATAAAACTAATAAAAGCAAATATAGGGAAACTGAGGCAGAGAGCATCCATTGCCCTAGGTGACATGGCTGAAGTTAAATGCAGGCAGTTGGCCTCCAGAGTTTAAATTTGAATCACTATGCAATATTATCTCAATAAACATTTGCTGAATAAAGGACAGATTGTAAAAGGTTAAAAAATTAAGCTTGCTATGTTCATTGTTCCTACTGTAGGGCCTAAACCAGATTATAAATTTCTGGAGTACAAATTTCTGGAGTACAAAGACCAGAAAATAATAGATAATTACTGTTGTTTATCATAATTTTATAGTATTTATTCTAGGACATTACTCATATGCAAAGTATGTTGATGCATTAAAATAACATCAAGGGATCAAGAAGGGGTATTATTCAAGTTCAAGGAGTCTGACTGTACCATAATTTCTATATTTCTAATGGGATAAATTCTCTCACCAATTTCACTTATTACTGTATCAAATTTCAACATCCTATTAAAAGGATAATACAGCATGTCAAAATTGAGATTTATTCTAGGAATGCAAGATGGTTCAAGATTAGGAAATATATCACTACAATTATTTCTATTGAATGCCAATAAGAATATCTTATGTCATCCCTATAAAAGCTGAAAGATTATTTTTCTTTCTTTTTTTTAAGATTTTTTGATGTGGACCATTTTTAAAGTCTTTATTGAATTCGTTAAAATATTGCTTCTGTTTTATGTTTTGGTCTTTTGGCCCTGAGGCATGTGGGATCTTAGCTCCCCGACCAGGGATCAAACCCACAACCCCTGCATTGGAAGGAGAAGTATTAATCACTGGACTGCCAGGGAAGTCCCTGAAAGATTATTTTTCAAATTGTTGGTATAGTATGAATCTATGAATATTGTCCTACTATTATTCAAATTCTAAAACATGCCTGTGCACACACACAGAGCCAAACCTACATTTTAGCCCCCAAAGCTAAAAAGTATTACTCAATGAGGTAACATTCCCTAAAGTAAAGAAGAAAACAGACATGACCCATGTTACCATTATTACTACTACTAGTTAAAACTGTACTAAACTAGCCAAAGCAATAAGAACAGAGAAAGAAACTGAAAATATAAAATTAAATAGAAAGAGATAAAACTACCTGTATTTGCAGATGGTATAGTTATATGAGTGAAAAAACCAATGTAATAGACTTAAGAATGATTAAAAACAAAGAAATTTAGTAAGGCAATAGGATATAAAATCAATATGAAACTAAGGTAATTTTACAAACAAAAACAATATATAGTTAGCAGATAGAAGACACATTTACAACAGCAACCAGAAAGACAATATACCTAAGAAAAGTTATCAATAAATGTATAAAACCTATGAGAAATTAACTTCTGAATGACCAAAAACTGGAAAGACAAAATGTGAGATGTGAAGACTAAACAGTTCTCTATAGCTCAATTTATAAATTTAACATAGTCTCAAAAAATAGGAGCTAGACAGGTTGATTCTAAAATTTCCATGGAAAATAAATTTAAAACTTCCCTCACACCCATGAAGTGGGAAGGCCTTTCTAATTATGACTCAAACTCTAGAAACCATCAAATAAAAACCTCATGAATCCTGCCTTAAAAATAGAAGTGTTTTGTATGGCAGTTAAAAAATACACACACACAAGAAGCCAAAAGACAAATTAAGAAAGAAAACTACTTCTCATTGCAAGGCAAAGAAATTTATCTGTTTATCTATATCTGTGTTGAAATTGATATCTAAATGCATCTATCCCTGTCTATCTAGATATCTAGCTATCTACCATCAGGCTCATGAAAAAGAAATGAAAATTAAAACTATACCAAGATACCATTTCTCAGGTACCAAAGGTGAAGAAAAACTTGACCATACACTTTGTTAGCTAGACTGTGGGGAAACAGACCCTTCTCATATGTTATTGATAAGTGTGCAAAGCACTAAAATCAGTGCCAAAAGCTGGTATTAGCTATCAAAATTAGAATTATACTACCTAGAAATATCACTCCTGGGAATCTGCCTTGTAGATACACATGCACATATATAAATGACACACGTAAGGTTTTTTTCACTGTAAGATTTTTTAAAATAATAAAATATTGGAATCAAGCCAAGTACCAATTATTAAAGAACTAGTTAAATAAACTACACACAACTTTTAGACCCTATTATAAACTGGAAATATTGATATTATCATGCCAACTTAAAAATAGGTATATGCAGATTTATTGAAAGACACACTGATCATAATTGCTGGTAAATTTTATATGAATAAAATTATAAGTATACAGTTATAATTGATGGTTAGAAAACTAACATTTAAAAATAATGCAGAAAATTCAGTAGGATAAAATATTTTAACCTACTTTACCAAGGCTTTGATCAAAACTCATAAGAAAGGTATAAACTTCACAAGATAAATCCCATCTCTTTATGTAATGATTAAGATTATGGGCTCTGGAGTTACAAACTGTGGATTCAAAACCTAGACACACCATCAAGAGTCCTTAGTTGGTTTAACTTCCTGAAATATCAATCTCCTCAATAGTAAATATTGATAAGCACAGAAATAAATTTTAGCAATCTTCTTTTATTATCTGACAACCAGAAAGAGAGCATGAGGTCTGACTCAGTGCACGATAATCAAAGTATGAATAGTCAGAAATGAACAACAATTCCCTAATTTAAGCTACATCAATATCACAAATCTTTGATTTCTAAGAAGACTGAAACATTACACTTACATGAATAGATATGCAATATCATGAGGTCTTAGGGTAAGATAAGACTTTTTCCATTCTAAAAATGTATGCAATAATTCATCTGCCTCACCAACAGTAGAGATCTTATTTTTATCTGACCACAATTCCAAAGATGACAGCACAATAGTAATTTTAAATGGCGCAAACATCTAAAAACAGAAGAGATAAATACATGAAAAAAATAATTTTTATGTTATTTTATAATAACCAAGAAATTAATTCAATCTTTTGACAAATCCACCCTCAATTTATATGGATAACTTTATTCAGAAATGCCACGTCAGCCGCGGAGCAACTCAGTCCATGCGCCATAACTATTGAAGCCTGTGCGCCTAGAGCCCGTGCTCCGCAACAAGAGAAGCCACTGCAATGAGAAGCCCGCGCACCGCAACGAAGAGTAGCCCCCACTCACCACAACTAGAGAAAGCCTGCGCACAGCAACAAAGACCCAACGCAGCCAAAAATAAATAAATAAAATAAATAAATTTTTTTTTAAAAAGAAATGGCATGTCAAGTCAATGCAAATTATAATTTCAAAACTAGTATGAATTTTCCTAACTAGTATGAAAAGGAAAATACTTACCGAATTTACAAGGCCAATAATTTCAATGACTTTATTTGTTACCATCATGCTATCAGAGCCCAGGTAATCATACTGAAAAACAGAATTAATTTAAAATTTAAATATCATTTGTTATGTAATACGTTTGAGATTTACTCTCCATACTCTCTCAGGTTGAGGCTGCTTTGGGGTTAGAACACTTCAAAATAAGACAGTAACAATTAAAATAGGAATATAAATTGGATCACTCACACATGCTAGCATGTAACATTGTATAGCCACTCTGAAAGATAGCTTGGCAACTTCTTTCAAAACAAATAATGGACCTAGAAGTTGCACTCCTGGGCATTTATCCTAAAGAAGTAAAAACTGATGCTCAGAAAAACCCATACATGAGTGGAAACAACTCCTATGTCCTTCAATGGTTAAAAGGTTAAACGAACTGTGGTACATTCATAACACAGAATACGATTCAGTAATAAAAAGTAACTGAACTGTTGATATATGAAACAGCCTGGGTAAACCTCATGAAAATTATACTAAGTATAAACAAATCTCAAAAGGATACATAATATATGATAACATTTATGCAATATTCTTAAAATCACAGATGAATAGATGAGTGATTACCAGAGGTCGAGAAGTAAGGAAGTGGGGAGAGATGTGTGTGACTCCAAAGGGATAACACAGAGAGTCTTGTGATGGTACTGTTCAGTGTATTGGTCATGGTGGTGGTAGTTATGAACGGCTACATATGTGACACTACCACATAAAACCACACACACATACATATACACAAATGAGTATATATATAATGGCTGAAATCTGAATAAGCTCTGAAGAATGTGTCAATGTTAAATTCCTTATCTATAAAAAAACTCTCTAAAGTACATTATCCCTTGGATATTACACAGGACGCTCAAGTTAAACATATCCAAAACTACACTCATTATCCTCCCTCAAAAATATGCTCCCACTTAGATTTCCACTTCTTTAGTGAATGCTACTACCATTTATGACCTCCCACATTCATTATACTATATGTTCTGTGACAGCAAAACTTTTTCTGTTTTGTTCACTGCTCTATCCTCAATAAATAGAACCGTAACTGGCATCTAGGTGATGCTTAATATATTATTAAATGAATGAATAAATCAAATCAATTTACAAGTTCTTCTAATTCACCCTCATTAGTAACATTTAAAATTGTCCTTTCTTGTCTATTCCTAACACTATTAATTTGTAAAACTTCACCTTGATTACTGGAATAGTCTCTTAAATGCTTTATCTTACTCCAATTTTTACACCAGCATTCCTGTCCCTACGCTATTGCAAAAATAATTCTAAATGTAAATATGAACACATCATTACCCTGCTTAAAATCTTTCATTGACTCTCTATTACCTTTAGGATAAAATCCAAATATCATGTCAATTCTTCAATTCATCTCTCTCCCTTTCCCTTCTTCAACGCTGTATATTAATCATACTAAACTTCTTGAAATTATCTAAAAGAACAATCTCTCAAATTTTGCACGCTTGCAAAGAAAGGTTTCACACTGAGTCTTCCCTGGCCCCATCCTCCCCCCATTGCCCAAACCAACCAAGCCAGAACCCAGCCTCCAACCATCTCCTTTACCAGGTTCTCACACTCCAATTCCCCTGCCCTAATCATCCAAGGGCAAGGTACCAAAAAATGTGAAACAACCTCTATTCTCCAGAGCCCACTGCAATTTTTCAAGTTAGCCAATGCTAAACCTGTTTACCTTGTTTTGCTGTTCCTTCCCACAGAAATCACAATAAAGGCTCCTGCCATGTTTTCCTATTGCTCCCTCTGTCTCCTGACCTACTCTGGTGCTTCTCCATGTGGCATGATGTGGTATGCCCTTTCCTCCTGGGAACTGTGAATAACAAACTAACTTTCCAATAGTAATCATCTCCTGATCTGTTGGCATCAGCATACCTGAATAATAATAAAACCTACATGTTAAAACACCTACTTACATGCTCTTACAATACCTCAGGTTACAGCTGTGTGTCTCCATGTCTTTCTCTATTAATGCACTGTGTTTTCATATACCATAAACTTCCCTCAATCTGGCACTGAATTCACTAGGCTACAACTGTGGATTTAAAATTTGTGAAGTGATTGAAGACATCACTATTCTTCTTTATATGCCCAATATCTAGTAACACAGATGTCATACTGGCTCAGTGCTTGTTTTATTAAAGAATACATAAACATAAATATTTGTAAGAACATAAAAAAGAGATGTTTAATGAGCATTATATGGCTGACAAACCTGGCAATTTGGACACGAACCTTTTAAAACAACTCTCAAAATCTGTAACGTAATCCTGAAACAAAATATTTTTCATAAACCAAAATATTCCCTGGAAATTTAGTCATCTTTACTAGAAATATCTCAACTTTCTCTTAAATGTTCCCTTTGCCCTTTTCCCTAATACTCTAATAAGTCAAGTATTTTAATATCCTTCTCCAAATCTCTCCTGTCTCTGACCCTCAACTCTGGCTTCCTGACAAGCTCTACAATCCTATGAATAGAAAGGGAAATTCACATTCTCTATAGTATTCCATAGATGTGACAATCAAATACTTATCTTCAAAACAAAACCTGGAAAGTATATTTTATCCCTGTTTTCTGAAATCTTTGAAATATAGGAGAAATAAAACCACACCCAATTGAGTACAAACTGAGTTATCACTTCAAGGGTCTGAAGTTCAGAGATCCTCAAATTGTTTATGGGAATAAGGAATCTAGAGGTGCCTTTAGATTAGACTCACTCAGACTTGAGTCAACAGACTCAAACAGTTGCACCATTAAAAACCACTAAAAAAAATCTTGACATTTTAATGTAAGCAGTTATCATAAATAGTTATACTATCATCATTGCTGTGCCAATAAATATCTTATAGGGCAAAAGATTCTCTAGACTACATGCTGCTCTTCGAGTACCCTAAAACAAGAATTAAAGCTTAGAGAATTTCACTTAAAAAAAATCACCATTAAAAATTTTTGTGGATTGAGAGAGGCCCTGAAGATGTGAAGTACCAGCAAAAATAAAAAAAAAATCATTTTGTTATGCAGGTTTGTTATGTAAAGATTTCAAATAAAACATTTCTGATAGAACTAATATAATTTTGAATATTTGATTCTTCAAATAGAAGACGTCTTCACTGTTCTCTGGAAGCGACATGGAAGTAAAAAGATTGGAATCTTTAAGTTCCTTTCTAGTTAGGGATAATCATACATTCATATCAAATATTCAAAAGCAAAGAAAAAGCAAAACACATACCAAAACTTTGTCCACCACGATATGCATTTCTAGATAGAGAGGAATTAAATCTGGAACAGCTGATTCTGGCTAGAAAAAAAGAATAGCAGTATTTAAAAACTTTCACAAGTTGTTTATTTTGAACTTTCAAAATATTTACTGAGTCATAGTTGAAATATATATATATATTTAAGCTATAAGACGATGTTTTGATATACATATACAATGTGAAATAACTGCCACAATCAAGCTAGTTAACATATCCACTCTCACATAGTTACCATTTTCTTTTTTCTTGTGTGTGTGTGTGTGTGTGTGTGTGTGTGTGTGTGTGTGTGTGTGTACTCCATAACAGTTTTTTATGGAGTAGTTAGGGTGTTCTATATATAATATCATGTCATCTGCAAATAGTGACAGCTTTACTTCTTCCTTTCCAATTTGAATGCATGTCATTTCGTTTTCTTACCCAATTACTGTGGTGAGAACTTCCAATTCTATGTTGAGTAAAAGTGGTGAAGGTAGGCATCCTTGACATGTTCCTGATCTCAGAGGAAATGCTTTCATCTTTTCACCGTTGAGTATGTTAGCTGTGGGCATGTCATATATGGTCCTTAGTACGTTGAAGTATGTTCCCTCTGTATCCACTTTGTTGAGAGTTTTTATTATACATGGATGCTGAATTTTTTCAAACGCTTTTTCTGCATCTATTTAGATGATCATGATTTTTATCCTTCATTTTGTTAATGTGGTATATCACATTAATTGATTTGCTGATCTTGAACCGTTTTTTCATCCTTGCAATAAACCCCACTTCAGCATGGTGTATGATTCTTTTAATGTTTTTTTTCTTTTAATGTTTTAATATTGAATTTGGTTTGCTAGTATCTTTTTAAAGATATTTGCATCTATGTTCATCAGGGATATTGGCCAGTAATTTTCTTTTCTTTTTTTTTTTTTGTGGTATCTTTGTCTGGGGTTTGGTATCAGGGTATGCTGGCCTTGTAAAATGAATTTGGAAATGTTCCCCCTTCATCTATTCTTTGGAAAAGGAGTTTGAGGATTGGTATTAATTATTCTTTAAATGTTTGGCACAATTCACCAGTGAATTGTATAAGTCTGGTCTTGGACTTTTGTTTGTTAGCATATTTTTGACTACTGATTAAATCCGCTTACCAGTAATTGGTCTATTCAGATTATCTATTTCACCATAATTCAGTCTTGGTAGGTTAGGTGTTTCTAGAAGTTTATCCATTTCTTCTGGGTTGTCTAATTTTCTTTTAATTGAAGTATAGTTGACTGACAATGTTGTGTACTTTTAGGTGTACAGCAAAGTGATTCATATATATATATATCATATATATTTAATATATATAACATATAATATATATGTATTCTTTTTCAGATTCTTTTCCCTTATAGGTTATTACAAAATATTGAGTATAGTTCCCTGTGCTATATAGTAGGTTCTTGTTGGTTATCTATTTCATATATTGTTGTGTATATATGTTAATCCCAAACTCCCAAGTTTTCCCTCCCCAGGTTGCCTAATTTGTTAACATATAATTCTTCCTAGTAGTCTATATTTCTGTGGGGTCAGTTGTAACATCTCTTTCATTTTTTATTTTATGATTTCTCTTTTTCTCTTGGTGAGTCTAGCTAAAGGTTTGTCAATTTTATCTTTTCAAAGAAGCAGTTCTCAGCTTCACTGACCTTCTCTATTGTCCTTTTGGAATCTGTTTCATTTATTTCTGCCCTACATTTGTTATGTCCTCCCTTCTGCTAATCCTGGGTTTCATTTGTTCTTTTTCTAGTTCCTTGAGGTATAAAGTTAGTTTATTAGTGACTTTTCTTGTTTCTTGAGGTAGGCCATTTATCACTAAGAACTTCCATCATAGAACTACTTTTGCTGCGTCCCACAAATTTTGGGTATATGCTATTTCCATTTTCTTTTGTCTCAAGGTATTTTTTTAAATTTCTCCTTTGATTTTTCTTTGGCCCATTTGTTGTTCAGTAGCATACTGATTAAACTCCACATATTTGTGAATTACCTAGATTTCTTAACATAAATAATTTCCAGTTTCATACCATTGTGGTCAATAAAGATGCTTCATATGTTATCCATTCTCTTAAATTTATTAAGATTGTTTTGTGGCCTAACATGATCTCTCGTGGAAAATGTTCCATGTGAACTTCAGAAGAATCTGCATTTACATGGAGTATTCTGTATATATCTGTTAAGTCCATCATTCCAATGTGTCACTTAAGGCCAATGTTTCCTTATTGATTTTCTGTCTGGATGATCTATCCATTGATTTAAGTGGGATATTAAAATTCCCTACTATTATTATATTGCTGTCTATTTCTCCCTTTAGATCAGTTAATATTTGCTTTATATATTTAGGTTATCCTATGTTGGGTACATCAATACTTACAAATGTTATATCTTCTTGTTCAATTGGCCGCTACATCATTATGTAACACCCATCCATGTCTCTTATTACAATCTTTTTTTTTTACACCTATTTTGTCTGATATAATTATAGCTACCCCAGCTTTCTTTTGGTTTCCATTAGCTTGGAAATCTTTTTCCATCACTTCACTCTCAGTCTCTGTGTGTCCTTACATCAAAAGTCTCTTGCAGGTAGCATATAGATGGGTCTTGTTTTTTTAATCCACATAGCCACTCTATGTCTTTTGATTGGAGAACTCAGTCAATTTACATTTAAAGTAATTACTGATAGGTAGAGAAATGAGAGAACTCAAATAAAATTTAAAAGTAATTATTGCCATTTTATTAATTGTTTACTGGCTGTTTGTTTCTTCATCTCTTGCTCTCTTCCTTTGTGGTTTGATGACTTTCTTTAGTAATATATTACTTTCTTTTTATTGTTTGTGTATTTACTATAGGTTTTTGCTATTTGTGAGCCATGAAGCTTACACATAACAACTTGCTGACAACAACTTAAGTTTTTTGAAAAAGCTCAACATTTTTACTCCCTGCCACATTTTGTTTTTTATGTCATATTTTATCTCTTTTATCTTGTGTATCCCTTAACTAATTATTGTAATCACAGTTATTACTATTTTTACTACTTTTGTCTTTTAACCTTTATAGTAGCTTTGTAACTGATTGATCCACTCCCTTTGCTATATATTTATCTTTCTGGTGAGCGTTATTATTTCATGTTTTCTTGGAAAAATTTAATGTGAGTTCCAGTTCAAGATGGCAAAATATGAAGATCCTGAAATCAACTCCTCCCAAAGACCTACTGAGTCTACAACTACATACGGAAAAATTTCCTCTTTTAAAAAACCTAAAGTCTGGCTGAGTGGTAACTATACATCAGGCAAATGAGAAGAAAAGTACGGTGAATCAGGTAGGATGTACTGAGACACACTCTTACCATAAATGCCACCCTCAGTGCTATGACCCACAACCTGGAGAAAATTCTAAACCTGGAGCTTCTGTCTGAGGAGTGAAGGGTTTGAACCTCACATTGGGCACCACAACTTTTAGGACCTGCACCTGAGACAAGCCCCAAAACATGGAACTTTGGAAACCAATGGGGCTTGAGTCCCCAGACTCACAAGATTGTGTCTGTCTGGGAATCAGGTCAACAAGGGCCTGGGCACTTGGACTTACCTTCTGTAGGGCCCAGCTCAGAGGGAGCTGTCATACCCAGACTTAAAGTAAAGGAAATTCCCTTGTTTATATTAAGGTGTCAGCCTGAGAGGCAGGCATCTAATTAGCACACACATCCAGTGATGAAGACTTGCAGGTACCATCTTCGTGCTTTCCCTTGTCCATGCTCCAGAGCACTATATCTCCCAGAAGAGAGCTTTTACATGCATCCGGTGCACCGATCTTTGCAGCTGACTCCCTGGGGACATTACTTGACTGCCCGACTCTGGAAGCCAAAGGAGCTTGCATTCCTAATCCCATGGGATTGTAATAATCATAAAGGAGCTCATACCCCTGTTAGGCACTCCAATTTTTATGGCAGCTACCCAGGAATACCTCTATATCACCTGGCTCTGGCAGCCAGTGGGGCTTATACTTGTGGGTCCCATAGGACAGTAGCTAACAGAGAAAGAGTTCTTAAACGGCTACCAGGCCCCAGCCAGCAAGAGGCAAAAGACCCAAGACCTCAGTCTTTCTGTTACAGAGGCCTATTAGCTAATCATCATGGCTGCAGCCTGAGAGGCAGACTTCTAATTAAACACACATCTATGGGCTAAGTGTCATGCTTTCCAGACACCTCAGAGGGTGAGTGCTATCTTCAAGGACTCCCTCTGCTACCCTCCAGAGATCCAGTTTTTCCTGCAAGGGAATTTTACATGCAATTGATGCCCTATCTTTTAAAACTAGTGCCCCAGTTTTTGCAGCTACCACCTAGGGAATGCTCCTTCAATGCCTGGCTCTGGTGGCTAGGGGGCTTGCGTTTATGAGACCCACAGGACTTGAAGCAATTGAAGAGATGGTTCTTGGCAAGCTGCCAGGTGCACAGCACTGTGGAGAAAACAGACTGAGGCACTCTGCAGTCTTCCTGTGAGGGAGGTCCCTTTGCTTGTTCTGGAGCTTCAACCTCAGTGGAAGGCTTCAGGTTTAGCACACATCCAGTGAACTACAGAGCTTCCCTCAAGGAATGTAGTCTACGGACACCATCTTGGTACACTCCCTCTGCCTTGCTTCAGCTCTCCAACAGCTCCCAGAAAAGAGCTTATACACTCATCTGGAGCCTCAGGTGACTGCTATGGAGGGGACACCGCTGGATACCCTGGAGAGCAGGGCATACACTTGCAATACCACAGGACTATATATATTTGCCTACTTTTAAAAGCTGCTGCCTGAAGATCTGGTTTCCAAACAGCCAGAATCTAAGAGCTAAGAACCTCCCCTTCGGGACACTGGCAGGTCTTGCCACATTCTCAACTATTGGGAGCTATTAAAAATATAATATGCTACTTGGATAAGCACAAAGCTTTGTCATCTTTGAGAGATGACAAAGAGCTGGGGGAGGGTTTCACCTCCTGTACAGGGACACTCCAAGACTAGGAGAGATGGCTGTTCCATCTACCATATAAAAACC